CACCATGCCTCTCAGTCCACCTAAGATGCCCTTTCTCCTTTACCTATGAAACTGGTACTCACAGTGCCCTGGCAGGAAGCCTGTGCTGACCCTCCTCCCAGGGCAGGTGCAGGGCTCTTCCTCCTGCTCCAAGAGCAACATGTGTTTCCCACTGATGCAGCGCCCTTCATAGTGCATTATAATCGTTTAGTTGTCTGTGTTTCCCACCATGGGGGCTGAATGCATTTTAATATACTTGAATGAATATAAAGAAGACACTAAATAACATAATGGATAATTCCTGGACGGCAGTTTTATAAAAATGCAGAGACATTCCACATATGGCCCTTTCCTAGGCAGTGAGCAATTACCAATTACCCTCCACTGTCTTATATTATTAGTTGGAGAAAAAAAGATCCCCTTGCTTTAAAAAGACAGCTAACTACACTCCCTGAGAATAAAGAGGAATCTTATCTTCTCAGCTCAGTTCAGTTCAACACACATTCATTGAGTACCAGTCAGTATGCTAAGTGCAGGGAAACAATGATGAATAAGACCTAGTCCTGTTCCTCTTAAAGTCTACAGACCTGCCTGGGGAGACATAATGCTAATGGATAAGTGGTCAGCAAAGGTCCAGTCCTGACCATGATTTCCTAGAGGAGGCATTGTCTAAGCTAATCTTAAAGAACGAGTTCACCTGGTAAAGGGACATTCCAAGCAGAAGAAAAAAAATGCAGGAAATGAATATTAGGCCAAACAACAACAACAACAAAAACCAAAAAACATAGTGCATACATGGAAATTTTAAGTTTATTTTTATTGAAGTGTAAAATATAACAAGGAAAGTATATGGGGAACAGTGGTAGGGAAAGAATCCATACGAGGCTGATGGAGTAGGTAGGATTCAGATCACAGAGGAGCTTGTGGGCAATGTTAAGGAAATTGGATTTTAACCTATAGGTGATGAGCAGCCTCCGAAGTCAGGAACATTGATTTTCATTTTAAATAAATTACTTTGGAAGTAGTGTTGCTAATGGATTTGGGGAGGGGGTGCTATCTGGGAGCAGGGAAATCAGTTAGCAAGCTGTTGCAACATTTCAGAAAATGCATGATGAGGTTTTATAAATGGTTTTAAATAGCCAAGTAATAATGATGCTTTCCCCCTTCTTTTAAATAAATCACCCTGGAGCAACTAGAAAAACAAGAAAGAAAAATGCAAAGTCTATACGTAATGAAAATATAACCCTGAGACACAATATATATGGAAAGGAAGCCAAATGCAGTGAAGAACAAACAGGGTATAAACAGGCACCAGGGCAAAAAATGCCTACAGCCACAAATCTTAGGTAAAGATAGAAAAACAGAGTTCTCCAACGATGACATTTCCCAAGGAGCAATCTGTTATTTGGAACCAAGGGAATGTGGCCAGGAATTGGCAGTGGGGAGTATTCCTGGGACTGACTGAGAATAAGGAGAAGTTGGAGAGAGAAGGCAAAATAAAGAACCATTCAGGCAGTTCTATCTTATGGGAAGAACCTACTCACAGACAAACATCTGGGGTTATTTGGAACCTCACTGAGAACCAAGGAGGATTCTTGTTAAGCTGAAACAGAGCTCTGATCTATCACCAAGAAGAACCCCCTCAAACAGTCCATCCAGGAAGAGCTCATGACATAAAAAAATGAAATGGTTAATAATAACATAGCAATAAAAGAAAACAGCACAAGAATCATCAGATAATATAGATAAGTCTTTGGATTGTCTCTTCTCTCTAGATACTTGCTCTTTTGGTGACTTCAATTTTGTGGTTCAAATATATCATCAATATGCTGACACCCTTCCAATTGATATCCTTAGCCCCAACTTCCCACCACTCCTACTTCTAAATTCAGTCTCAAATCTCTACCTGCTCACCCCACATCTCAAAGGGGGACTTAAAGGAGCTCAGGACTGAACACAGCTGGCTCCATATCCCCCCTCTCCCTGGTTCACCACCCAAGCAGGCCTTCCCAGGTCATCCTATATAATAAAAGCCTAATATGCAAATTGTCCCCTTGGGTGGTCATTCGACTGGGAGTTTGACCATTCACTATGATGTGCGCTGACCACCAGGGGTGGCACGGAACATGGTGGGCATCAGCAACAAGGTGCTGGCAGCGGGCAGCAGTGGAGGCACTGCTGGCCCTGATGGGCCCCGATGAGAGCGGGACAGTGGTGGGATGGTGGCAAGTGAATGGGCAGTGCCAGGCCAAGGCAGGTGTGATTAGGGGCCCACAGACAGTGACCAGCAGCGGCAGTGGGGGGTGGGGCCGCTGCCCAGCTCCCTGATCGATCGCCCTGCAGGCAGGATGGTGGAGCAGGTGAGGTGGCGGCGCCAGGCCAAGGCGGTGTGCCAGGCGGGGCTGCAGAGCTGCAAAGCTGGGGGCGTGAACTGGGGCCTGATCTCCGCAGGCCATGCCGAGGGACCCCACCCATGCACAAATCTGTGCACCGAGCCTCTAGTCCCAAATAAAATCGTAAAACCCACAGATTCCCAACATTCACAGTCCCTCATTTATTTTTATCCACAGCATTTTCATCACCTGATATATTTTATAGACAAATAAACAGATGATCATTCAGGTTAGATAGAAAGATAGAGAGCAGCACTTATATAACACTGTTTTGGTGCTTTACAGGTATAATTAACACATCTAATCCTCCCATCGACCCATGAAGTGAGAGCTGTAATTATCCTCTTTATGTAGGTGAGTCAAATGAGGCACAGCTCAAGGTCTTGCAGCTAAGTGTGGCAAGCCAAGGTCGGAATAAATGTCAGTCTCCAGCTACAAGTTCTTAACCACTATCCCTCATGTAGAGGCCTATACAGGGTGTCCCAAAAAATGTACACCCACTGTGAATGACTATTAATTCCAATGGGTTAAATCTGAAAAGAAAGAAACATCAGTTAAACTATAAGATGTAAAGTTTAGACACCCTATATATAGATGTACATATAGGGATGTGTATATCATATACATATTTTTCCTGTCTCCCACTAGAATGTATATGCCACTAATGCAGGGATTTTATTGTGTTTATTATTTTAATCCAAGCACCTGGAACAAGGGGTTGGGAATATAGTAGGCCAGCAATAAAACTTTATTGAAAATGGGAACTTATATCTCTTTCTAACAAAATAAAATTTGATGCTGATTTAAAAAAAAACTGCTATTGGTTTCCAGTATAATAAAAAAAAAATGTTTCAAAATAGAAAAAAAAATATGGATATCTGTCTGCAGAATTGCAGAAAATTTTATGCAATACAAGGAAAAATGAAACTAAGAAATTTGAACATTTTAAATTCGAAGTGATGTTTCCCAGAAACAATTCTGCCACGTTTATCATTATATGCAGTATCAGCATTAGGAAAAGTCCAATCAGATTGGTAACTTCATAAATCATTCCTGAGATTCTACGTTAAAAAAAAATGAGAGAAAAGGTGATAACAAAGTCTTAAATCAAGACCATAACAATGGGAATGGAATAAAAGGAAGCACTTAAGAAATAACTATGGGTGATATTAGCAGAGGCTGTGGCTTCATTTAATTTGGTGACATACACTGACTTCCAGGTTTCTATCTTGAGTAGCCTGGTCGAAGGTAGTGTCACAAATGTGTCAGGTTCTAGGGGGTCATGTTGACTTTATTTTACCTGTGGAATATCCAGGTTGAGATGTTGAGATGGCTATTAGACATATAGATCTGCAGTACATGGTAGAGTCTCATTGACTTGAGAGTCATCAGAACATGGAGATATTAATCAAAACCATGAGTACTGGATGCAAGGAGAAGCTGGCCAAGGGCAAAAAGCTTGATAGCATCAAGAGTAGTCTATTTTGCATTATATATGTTCAGTAAATACTTGTGAATAAAGGGATGATAGTGCCAATGACCTCCCAAAATTTAGGAAAAATTGACTGAGAATCTGCCTTTTAATTAAACTGAGAAACAGTGATTTTTGTAAGCCACAAAGACCTCTCTTTTACTACCTTTTTCAACGTAGTTTTGGAGTAGGGCTGGCTACATTTCCTGTATTTTACTAGACCTTAAAAATCCATGCATCTAATTTGCAAAAATAAGTAACTTCTACATACATAATCCATCAATTCAACAGGTAGTCACCCAGTACCCCTGATTTGCAAAGGCATCTTGCTAGGGCCAAGGATGAGGAGTAAGTTGTGTGTATAAAATATGGTCCTTATCCCCAGAGGGTGTAAAATGTAATTTGGAAAGAAGGAGATAAATAAATCTGCTAAGAGTTAATTAACAACCCCTAACTCAGGGAGATTCCAAAGTTCAAGGTTCCTAAAGGAAAGAGTCTGTGCCAAGTGTTTGTCAGAGAGAGAGAGAGAGAGAGAGAGAGAGAGAGAGAGAGAGAGAGAGAGAAACTCACTCAGTGGAGCATCATCTCTTTTTTTCTCATTTTTGATCTATTTTGTACCTTCTTCCTGAAACTCAAAACCTAAATCAAGACTTCCCTTGCCTGCCTAGAGTCCCAGCTAGGTTACCTCTGAGTCAGAGTTCTTGGAGTGACAGATTTTGGACTCGGCATTAGAAGGGGTAGTCAGTACTGAAAAGAGAAGGGATGATTTAGGGTGTTCTAGATTTTCCAGAATAAAAATCCTGGAGATACTTAATTTCTTGGAAATTCTCATTCCTAATTTAGACAAGTCACTTTGGACAGAAATAGAATGTGGTTTTGATGAACTAAAGTCAACTCTCATTAGAGATCTTTCAAGACCCCTTTTGGTATCATTAAATATCAACCCAACTGAGGGATTGAGTAAAATTCCCTGTAGATGCCTTCATCTGCAGAATGCCTTCATCATTCACCAGAAGTCTGGGATCTCCCCAGGGGGCCAGGTCATCAAAGCAAAGGAGGGGCAGCACCCCTCAAGAAAGCCATCGTCATTTTCATAGTAAGCAGCTGACTTCACCTACACATCCTCTCCTACCATTGACAGCGCTTTCTGGACTCACCTGAATGAAGATGTATTCATCCTGGACGACCAGGGAGCTGATGTCAATGGAGCGAGCAAAAGGCCCACTGCGGGTGGTCTCAGCACATTCCTGGATCCTGCAGGTGAGGTAGTGAGCATCTGGAATGGGAGGGCAGAACGACATTTAGACACGGGGGAATGGCAAGCAAAGCTCTCCTCAGCCCATGGAGCTCTACCTCATGGGAAGTCAGTGATGCCATTTAAAACAGCACTGAGATGGCATTTTCTTGTCCACAACATTTGTAATATTTTTTTTAATCATAAAATATAGTTCAGGCAAGGGAGTAGGGAAAGAGTAAAAGTGGTATAGCTTTTTGGAAGAACAAATGTGAAATATCTATCAGAATTTTAAATGTACATCTTACACCAGTAATTCTAATTTGCTCTTAGAATAAAGCACCAAAAACTCAGTGAAAAGCTGCAGTAAATACATGTAAAAAACCCATGAGGGTTGACATGACAACCTGCTTCTTTCTCAATAGCCAGTATCTCAGAAAGCTCCCTACACGGGTAATCAAAGGTACACTCAGGAGGCCATCTGCTTATCCCTCTGCCCACAGGCTCATTTTCCCCTATTTACGATTCACTCTCACATTTGGACACTTTGAAAAAAGAATCAAGTGTATTCAAGGCCACCCCAAGCAAAGTCAACACCTACCTAAACCTTGGCTCATGGCAAGAGGCCAAACTCATGCCACTTCTGGACTCTCCCCGTGCTTGTCACTGCCCAGCAGGGTGCAAAAAGTCCAATTTAACAGGAAAGAAGTAGCCCTAAAATGAGTTCCTGAAATCCACAAAAAATTCAGGGACCTTATAGTCTTTAGAAATCTTAATGCTTTTATTTTTCAAAACACAGAGACATGAAAATAAGTGCTATGGTACCCACTGTGTGGTGAGAACCCAAAGTGGGGGCTTGGAAAGAATAAATTATCAGGCAGACCTGGCCCCCAGATGAAAGTGACTGAGAATCACAGGGGACTTTGGGTGTCAAAGGTGAGCTCAAGCCTTGAGTTTGCAAAAGGTGTCAAATTTAGGCTTTGGACATTATCTCCAAATGAGCGTGGATGTAGTCATATAAGATTCCATGGTGAAAATGAAAGAATATATTTATCATATAACCTGAAACCCCAAAATAGGCTTCCAACAACCGTGGCCTTTTTATTGGCTTTTTAATAACAACAAATGCCTGATGGGATGGATTCAAGCCCGTTCTTTGGAGATGAGAGCAACACCTCTGGAGCTAGATGCCCTGAGTTTGAATCCTGGACTTGCTACTTGCTCATTGCCCTTGGTTAAGCAGCAGCACTGCTTTTCATCTGGGAGGTTCAGGCAGGTTAGTATTTTCCTTGGAGAATTGCCATTAGGTTATATGATTATGTATGAAAAATGCTCAGTACCATGTATCGTTGGATAAATTTTAAAAGATCAATAAATATTAGCTCCTTTTTTACTCTGAAGAAAGAAGGAGGGGGATTTAACACTCAGAATCTTTCTTACATTCAATTTTTTGTTGTTAATCCTCACCTGAGGATGTTTTTTCACTGAATTTCAGAGAGAGTGGAAGGAGAAGGAGAGAGGGAGAGAGAGAGAGAGAGAGATTTTACTGAATTTTAGAGAGAGTGGAAGGAGAGGGAGAGAGAGAGAGAAAGAGAGAGAGAAACATTGATGTAAGAGGGACACATTGATTGGTTGCCTCCCGCATGGTCCCAGATAGGGGTCGGGGATCAAACCTGCAACCCAGGTACATGCCCTTGACCAGAAATCGACCCTTGGATGTGTGGGCCGATGCTGTAACCGCTGAGAAACACAGGCCAGGGCATAAGTGATATTTTATTTTATTGTTGAAAATTAAAAGAACATGATATCACAGATCCTACTAGTAAAACCATATTCCAAACTTATATCACTGTTTACTTTCTTTGAGGGTGATGGGTGTGCAGACAAGAAAGGAAGGGTGTCTGAACTAGAATAATCAAGGAACCCCTGAAAAAGAAGGCAGTTCTATGTTTAGCCTCGATGCTGTAGCTGAGAAACACAGGCCAGGGCATAAGTGATATTTTATTTTATTGTTGAAAATTAAAAGAACATGATATCACAGATCCTACTAGTAAAACCATATTCCAAACTTATATCACTGTTTACTTTCTTTGAGGGTGATGGGTGTGCAGACAAGAAAGAAAGGGTGTCTGAACTAGAATAATCAAGGAACCCCTGGAAGAGAAGGCAGTTCTATGTTTAGCCTGACGGAGAAGTGTGCTATGTGAGAAGGGAATTCCTGAAAAAGGGAGTGGAAACCGCACAGTGTCAGGCAGGCAAAGCTCCTGGAAGGCACTATATAATTACATGTGGACTTTGATTAATGTTATTTCTGAACTTCCATTTTCTCTCCTCTCCTTAAAAAAAAAATCCTCAAATGAGAAACTAGAAAGACCAGATTGGATGAAGATCTCATTTGCATACCCCTGTGGGAAAACCAGAGAGTGACTTCCCAAATGTCTGAAAGTCACATCACCTTCAAGATTAATGAATTTCTAAATGTCAAATGTCTTTCTAATGTATTTCTAAGACCTGGTGCGGCCACTGCTCCACTTACAACAACTGAAAGCCCAAGGCCGTGCTCCCTGCACTGTTTGATGAGATCTGTTTGATGACTTTAGAAATATCTGGCCCTGCTAGATGACCTGTAGGGAAGGTGGTACCATCTCTCTAGTGAGTCCAGCCTCCATGCCCTCTCACCTTGAAGATGGACTCAGGGTCTCCTAGGGTGGCCTTGGACTGACTGATTCATTCTTTTTGTATTGGCTCAAGGTGTATAGAGAAGTTGCAGGTGTCACTGCCCCCCCCCCTCACCCTGAGGTTCTAGAAAGCAGAGAATGTAAGACAGGTTCCTGTCCTCAGAAGAACCCCAGACCAATAGTGAGAATGGGATATTCACAAGTGAACATGCTCTGGGGTCTGTGTGAGATAGAGTATGACCTGGGGGATGAGGAGAGAGAATGAAGGAGATAATCCGTCATCCTTAGCCTTCTTAATCTCCTAGGGGTTTGCATTTCTGCTAGTTTTGCAGAGCCTAGGGAGGCAGCCTCTAACTTTCTCCATTCAGCAGGGCAAGCTTTTCATCCATCTACATCAACAAGTTTCCCATAAAGTCCAGCATTTCTCACTCTGCCAAGCCTTCCCCAAAGCGTCATCTCCTTAGAAACGGGCAGAAAGTCTTAGCAATCTTTGTTTCTATCCTCAGGCTGACTTTACAAAGCCTCTGTAAATGCTGGTTAAACAGAACTGAATTGCATTCAAAGCCTAGCAATTTTGATGTTGAATTATATTGTGACTAGTGATTGTGTTTTGCTTTTGAGATGACTAAATATTCAAAGTATTCTAAATGTCTTGTCTCTTGTCACCTCATAGAAAAATCTTCCCCTGATTCCTTCTATGTCAATCTCTTTGGGTAATATGCATATTGTCAAAAATTGAAAAAGAGGGATAAAATTGTGAACAAAAGTAAATTCAGTTCTTCAGGTCTTCCTTTAGAAGCAGTAGTTCTCAACCTTCCTAATGCCGCGACCCTTTAATACAGTTCCTCATGTTGTGGTGACCTCCAACCATAAAATTATCTTCGTTGCTACTTCATAACTATAATTTTGCTACTGTTATGAATCGTAATGTAAATATCTGATATGCTATATGTGTTTTCCGATGGTCGCGACCCACAGGTTGAGAACCGCTGCAAGAAATACCCAGGACCTATTTACTTTAAATAGGAATGTAAACTCTCAAATGCAAATAAGTAAAACCAGATTCCAGGAAGCTCTGACAAGTTATTTCGCTTCCATAAGCCTGCTTCTCCTTTACCGGGAGAGGGGGACTAATAGTGCAAAATATGGACATTGACATTACTGCAAATGCCTAATACAGCACTTAATACTAAAAACAAAATCAACAAACCAAAAAAAAAAAAGTAGCTCCCATTCCTTCCTATTATGCTTACGGATTTAGAGTTTTTCTAAAACTTGTAATTGCCATAGGAGAATTCTAGTGTCTGTGCCTTCTAAGTGGTATGTGGTGTGGTGCAGCTAACAGGGTTATAGACAGTTAGAAATCACAGCAACCTGGGCTACTTCATAACTATAATTTTGCTACTGTTATGAATCGTAATGTAAATATCTGATATGCTATATGTGTTTTCCAATGGTCGCGACCCACAGGTTGAGAACCGCTGTGAGGAATACCCAGGACCTATTTACTTTAAATAGAAATGTAAACTCTCAAATGCAAATAAGTAAAAACAGATTCCAGGAAGCTCTGACAAGTTATTTCGCTTCCATAAGCCTGCTTCTCCTTTACCGGGAGAGGGGGACTAATAGTGCAAAATATGGACATTGACATTACTGCAAATGCCTAATACAGCACTTAATACTAAAAACAAAATCAACAAACCAAAAAAAAAAAAAGTAGCTCCCATTCCTTCCTATTATGCTTACGGATTTAGAGTTTTTCTAAAACTTGTAATTGCCATAGGAGAATTCTAGTGTCTGTGCCTTCTAAGTGGTATGTGGTGTGGTGCAGCTAACAGGGTTATAGACAGTTAGAAATCACAGCAACCTGGATGGGTATCTTAGTTGCTTGGAGCATCTTCCTGTGCTCCGAAAGGTTGCAGGTTCTATTCCCACTCAGGGAATAGAGGTGATGGGTTTGATCCCCCATCAGGCTGAGTATTAGAGGCAACAGATCAATTTTCTCTGTCACATCAATGTCTCCCTTTTTCTCCCTTCCTCTATCTCTAAAATCAAACATATCCTTGGGTGAGGACTGAGAAAAGAAAGAAACAAAAAGGGGGGGATTAAAATACACTTTGTGCCTTTTTGTGATGATTGATCAAAAGATAAAAATGTGTGGGGATGTGTGAGTGTAAGAAAGCAAAAAAAAAGTGTCATATATGTCATTAGGCTAACGTAGTGATGTTATGTGCATTTTCTAAGTAAAGGTGGGTTAGAACCAATTGACTAAAGAACATCAGTTTAACTATAGAAAAACTGATTTTAAAAAATCCAGAACATGGAACAGAACTAATATATACTATACTTGAACCTAAGTGTGCTGCGTGGCATTTATCCCTGGTATATTTCTGTCTACTGTCTTCAATTCTTGATAATAAGCCAGAAACTCTTCTAGTGCTTTGCATTTTAATCTCATAAAATTTCACAGCACTCCTGCACCATAAATTTTATCCAAATTTGGACCATAATTCCTAAACTTTCAGAAAATAAGTATAAGCTTAATGAAAGAAATTATTTTATTAAGAGAAAGAGAGAGAGAGAGAGAGAGAGAGAGA